GTAAACTGAGCTGAGGGGAAAAGGGGTATCACGACCGCCCCTATCTTGCGGTAGCGAGTTTGTAAAATTGCAAATTGACGATTATTGGTTCTCCCTTTGAGTGCATAGTAGAATGCACACTTTCGACACGTAGTCGATTCGTTTACAAAATGCCCCATGTCTTGCGACAGCGCCCTTGCTTATATCGAAAGTTGAGTTTTCTGCCTGTTTCGAGAGTTCCAACAACACCTGCATATCTAGAGTAAACGTATTCCTTGACCCTTAAAACGAGTTCACGTAAAAGGTAGCTCATTCTATCAAGGTGGGGGTGGTCAGTGGTGTTGGGATGAAGAAAAAACATGAGAAACGGCCCAAAACCCGAGAAAACGCGAAGCCTTCCTTGCCCGTTGAAGTGCGCACACGTGCGACTCTCATCGGTGCTGCCCTACTCAACGCTAGCGCTCTCTCTGCTATACCTAGAGATAATGGCTGGCCCACAGGTGGGCGTTCCGCTCCGCTAGCGGCACCGGGAGGGCCTATGCTAGATCGCCGGGGCATATCCTTCGCTGCGAATTGCGTGTCGGTCCGCAGCCTTAGGGGTCCGCCTTGCCTTTGGGTAAGCTTCCCCTTCTTCGACCTTCGCCCTCATCGTGGAATCCTCCTCTAAGAATGACAGAAACTTCTTAGAATGCATGTTGCAAAGACTTATTGGAGTTGCTTAACACGAATAATGTATTTGTTTTGAGGAAATCTAGGGTTCACATCATTGAGTGTTCATTCCCACGTTTGCACCGATTACCCAACTGCAAGTCCATAGCCATAACGCCGGGCCTATCCGAGCGATGTCCTTTATTTGAGGCACATTGTGACGTAACATAAATCACGAGCAATTAGCTGCCCGTCCCAGCATGAAAAGACTTCACTTGCCTGCTTGTTCCAAGACGTGTTCCCATTTTTTTCGACCCTAAGCAATGTGCTGATCGAACAGGTGCATTCATATTCAGTTCTATGAACTTGAAAGAATGTTGTCTGTTTGAATGAGACAGCGATAGTGTTGATAGAGCACTGTGGGGCGATGGACCCCCGTTCCAACCCAAAAGGGTGTAGATGATCCGCCGAAAAGGATCAGAAGAGAGGTATGGAAGTGAACGTGGGGGCTTATTCGATTGCCTTCAGATGATCTGCAGTGCTGCTTCCCAGGGTTCATCCCTTACCGATTGATGTGGCAGTCTTGTCTCCAATTGAGACTATAGAATGAATTCTTTTATGGGCCAGATCCGCATTACCTTAGTGGAATATGACGAAATTTTACGCTAACGTCTACATCTGAGAACATCACATCTCCCTCAACGGCCTTCCAACTTCTATGTATTCATTAGTTTCCCGTCTCCCTTGTTTTCCTTCTTCTCTTCGTTTTTTTTCTGTTTGGAGAACCACAAACTTTTCTCCCCAATGGCTCACAATTTTCATAAACTCTTCTTCAGGGTGATCTCTTCCTTTCTGCAGGCTCCTGATCTAGTTTCTACAGTTCTGGAGATCCAGTGCTGGAGAACTGTCAGAACAGGTTTGTCGTTCATCAAAAACGTACTTTTACTATGACGTCAGATGTTTTTTCTTCATCGCTAATGAATTTTGACGATCAATCCTTGGTCATTCAAAATTGATGTGAAGTCATGGTCGAATAAAGTCAGCCGAGGACAGTTCAAAAGTTTCTATGCTCAGTTTCTCTCACTTTTGAAGAAAATCTTGCCGTTCTTCCCCCATCACACTCAGCTGAAATTAGTGAGCGCGCTGGGGTTTTCGCTATAAGCCATCGCGCCGGGCGATTCCGGAATTAGTAGTACCTCAATCCCTGATGTCGTATGACTTCGTAATAAAAATATGCTATAGTAGAACCCAACTCAATGAACTCTAACGGAGTCCCGGACGTTAAGATTTGGTGCCGTATTCCCGTTGCGTAGAGGGGAATTGGCAAGTGGTGATGCTTGCTTGCCGTTGGAGATCGAATCTCGGATCGCGTAGCGTCCAGGCCAACTGAATCAGTGACTTGGATGTATACAGCTGGTATTGCTAAGCTATCAATTGTAGCCAAGGGCGGCTTCGAAAATGGCGCTTATGACTTTTAATTGTAGTGTAATTTGAAGTTGCGGAGCATTAGAGCATTCTGATAATGGAAGCAATCCAGGGGTTTTTTGTTTTCACTTTAAAAAAAAAAAAAAGTTTCCGGTCCCCTTGATCATAAGAACAACGCAAGCAGGACGAACCAAATATAGCGAATCTGAACTCAAACACCGAATCAGGACTGCAAACACCTCGACGAGGGATATTAAGACTCAAAAAAGTTCAGGTACCGGTTGCATCACCTCATGAAATTTTCGTTGAAAAAAGCTGAGCTTGTTTCATAGAAGGCCTCGGTGCTCCATGGTAAGACATACCTAGGTTATCTAACCGTGCAAAATTACTTTGAAGGCCGAAGGTACTTGTGAAGGCCTAACAAAAGTCAAGGACTGCCAAATGAACGCCGAGTGATCAAACTGTAGACTTCTCAAAGTGAAATTGTTAAGCAGTCCCGGTAAGCGGATTATCGTGTTGCCCCGAAGGTGACGCACCCGTCCATCTACCGCTCGCCCCGTGACCAGTTCCTATTACTGCGTGTCTACCATCTAGTTATGCATGTTTGATCGCAGCTATTTAGCAATCAATCGATTTTTTCCATCATCGATCAACACCTCAACGATCGATACCTGTGCCTTGTGTGATCAATATCAGCACTAGTGCAGTGGGGCGGCGTGGCGAACGTACGACGACGATTCTGACTGTTGCGCCCACCGACGATCACCATCACGATCACCATCGCCAACACTGACAGCATCACTCGCGTCTAGCCGAATGTGAGCGGTCAATGCGAAACGACATCGTCATCTTCCGCATCGGCATCTGTCTATTCGGCATCTACCAATCGGCTGTCGCTACCGTATTCTCGAATTCCCTGAAAACCTGCCAGCTCTACTGTTCAGAGCGAAATTTGGTCAGTAACCTTACTCTGTATCCATGGATTTCTCTGGCCAGTGATTCCTTTTCCTCGTTTTTCTCTGATTATTGTAATCACTTGATCTCAAAATTGGTCTCTCACTTCTAGTTCTGACTCCAGAATCCAGGTCATACTTATTGATGATTCCGAAAGTCCGTTATGGCTATTTGGTGTCGTGATTGCGCTGGCGCATTACGTGATTGAAGAATGTTCGGTAGCAGTGTGGCTGGGGGGTGAAATAGATTGTGGGTTATGGAGAGAGCCTCGTGGTCGATGAAGGTCAGTGGAAACGTCAGAACGATTGTAAATCCTGAGACGATCGCCCTTTGATGACGGCAATCTGTCACCAGTCATTCGTTCTTTCCATTCCCACAGGAGTCCTCCGTCCATTCCCTCGAGAAGCGTCACCTCTGGTACATAGTTGCATGTCTGTTACACAAGAACACGGTCGCTCGACCAATGTGGCTCGTTGTTATGAAAGTGAGACGAATGGCTGGAAAGAAATGAGAACAAGTTCCACACACACACGCATACACTCACCTGACCTTCTTTTGTCCATTTCTTAGCCAACACAACAACTCCGAGCGAATTCTGCTGCGGAAAAAAACCCGACCAGCCTACTTCATAATCGAAGTTCCCAGCATTTCCTCCAGAAAGAGTCCACCCAGGGATCACTGAGTCATCGCTGTTGAGCCCTGGAATTTTCCGAGTACCGAATAACTCCGATGAGAACAGCACTTACCCTGCTCGGTAGCCTTTATTTCTATAATATTTCCTATTCCAAGTCGCGCTGTCTAGTCGTTCTTTGAAGTTTCCTCTTTGTGGGGAAAGGGCCACCATCAAAACCAAAGGTTCGCACTGCATTTGTGCATATGAATGTCTACCTTGCGAAATCCTTCACCCGCCTTTGAATTTCTGATACTCACAGTTCCACGGAAGTAACTCATGGAAGTCCCGATACTAGTGGGCTCCCCGTGTTGCCGTGCGTTCAAGTTTCCGTTATACTTTATGAAATGTTTGCCACTGGAGGATTTAACGAAGCAGACCTTCCTACACCTGATCGAGCTATGTTCTGCTGGAGCAGGCGTTGAGATAATCCATCGCATTCATAGAGCCTCGGCTGCCGTTAGCTTCTTTTTCAAGGTTTTACTGTGCTCTCATACGAGATTCCATGCTTTTCGAATATCTATCGAAGTCTCTTCCACAGATATAGCGCCACACGTTGATCGGTCCTTTTCCGTCAATTCCTGAATTCCGACTTTAATGCTAGAATGGAGTGCGTACTTCGCCTATATAATAATGTACAGAAGTCATCAGATGTGCAATCGAGGCTAACAAATTGAACTACCGGTATTCTATAGCAAGGGTTGAGCAGTCCGTTTCGGTGTGTTTCGAGTGCAGCAGTACCGTTGCTACCCTTGAGGTTACGGGCCAAAGCTTCTGCTAAATCAGAAGTGTCTTGTAAAAACTAGCGGATTTCTTATTGGTGAAGTAATTATTTGGAGAGGGGTTCACGGATCATGCCGCGGATCGTAGCGGAGCCATATAACAACGCACTTACCCACCCTCATATTGGTTGTTGTCGCACATTTGCATAGGTTTTCAAACTTTCTAAGAGGTAGCAACAAAAGTAAATCTCAGCTTTATCCTGATAAGAACATTTTAAGGCATTTCCGTTGGCTCGCGGTGAATTCACATGGAATCAAGACGACTTGTCAAAGTGTGACTACAGTTGCCGCGTGAATTCGGTCAGTCTCTCAGCTCCTTTGGAACAACATGTTTTTTGCAAAGCAACAATATTATAGTGTTTTATTGGATTCTCAGTTAATAACCATCCGTTGCAAGTTCCTCGCCCATTCCTCCTTCACGTTTTGCTCATTCACATCAACCACATATTTGCTTCACCTCATATTTACGAAATTTTTATGAATTTTTCCCTTTGAAACGTGCCTTTCAACTCCTCGGCTGTACAAAGACTTTTTTCCGTAATCACCAGCCATTGGTAGGTAATTTGGGGGTTGTCCAGTAATATCTGTGGTGTGACACGGGAGGTAAGTGAAACTCGCACCTTCATTGGCTCCGCCAGTAGAAGTGAGAAAGTAATAACAAAGATACGCAAAAAGAAAAAAGTGAAAAGGGGCAAGGAAAGTGTCTCCAGGGGTGCGTGGCGCTTCTCCTTATGGGGTCAGGTCACCTAAAATTGAGACGCCGTTCATTCGCTCGGAGCAAGCTTAGGACTAAGCCTAGGCCCAATCATAGGCTTAGGCATAAGCCAATGTGTAAGCATAAGCCTTAACCTAAGTCTAAACCCAAACTTAACCTTAAGCTTCAATGATCGCGCAACTGTGGTGACCTGACCCAGGAGGAGAAACGCACGTCTCCCGACGACGACACCTACAGGGAGTGCGATTGTTCGAATCAGCTAGGAATCGGGAACACACCAAACAGGTGCTGAGTATAGAGCTGAACGTCAAGTGCTCAGGCAGTTTATATCGTCTTTCTCATCTATCTTTTTCTTACTCACTTGCAAAACCCTAGAAATCAAGCAGTATCACGGGCAGAGATAAAAACCCGTCTCAGTTACAATGGACCTCCAGGCTATATATTGGGTTGATGCGTAATTATTGCGGATTTTTTAAACAAATTTTATTCAGCGAAAACGATTAAGATATTTGAACAAAAACATATTCGAATGATTATTCAAATGGTCTCCCGCTCCTTGCAGGGGTCGATCCAACGATTGAAAAAGCACGATCCGTGAGAGATCCACGCTCTAACATCGACCACCAAGTCATAATAGCTCGTCGTAAATTTTGTTCGTTTGCCAGTTTTCCAACGACTGATCGAAGTGGTAGTCTGTAGGAGCTCCGCCCGGTAAATATGGCTTCTTGAACCTTTTCAACCAGCTTTCAACGTGGCTTTTGCTGATTCTTCCCTCGCGAAAAAGCTCGCTGATATCGCAAACTGACTCTGCGCCTTCTAATCTTGTGGTTAGAGTATATGTAGCGAATATGAGGATGATTTTCGATAAGCATTACTGTTAGTGAAAAAGAGAAGAATATTATTATGAAAAAATAATGAATAGAATGCGGATCTTTTCGAAGAAAGAAGGCGCGAAAAAAATTCGCAATAATGGCTCAATCCAATAGTTCCGATGCACAGAACAACAATGAAGGTATATACGACTGAGGCTTTGTCGGCAAAATAGGGTCACGCGTTCCTAAACTCAGAAAAGTCTGCGTGAATTACTCAACTCTGGAATGCAACATACACCAGTTTGGCAGGAAGTACAATACGTTCCCAATATCGTGGACTAGTAATGGGTTTGAGCATTGCGCTGCTGTTAGCAATCGCATGCCTTGGTCGGAGCAAGGATTAACAACTGGAATGTGTATATGAATTTTGAACATTTGCTCATCATTCCAAGCCCGCTAGAAAGGAAAGCATTGAAGGTTCTTGTTATGAGAGTGGTACAAGTGGAAATCAGTAGTAAGGAGGAGTGAAATTCTTAGATTCGCCGCGTCGGGCTCATCGGATACTGTAAAGGAAAGGTGTCACTGGTAGCGAGAGCGAACATTTGAGGGCGCACAGGGAAGTAGATCAAGCAGTACTTCAAAAATGTGTGCCTCAAAGCTACCAACAGGTACTATTTAGTAGTATGTGCCACATGCGGTGAGGAGGACCAAATCACTAGTTATTACGAATATTTCAGATAGGCATCTGAGCAGCGAAATGTCACCACATGCGAATTAAAACACCTTTGAAAGTTTTTCGGAATACTTCTGAGTGACAATATTTCAATATGCTTAGGAACCTCACAAACTTTGCCATTCAATTAACATAAGGCTTCGTGACAGCACAATCCTAATGTACATATTTATTTTGTCAAATTTTGTTTGATAATATAGCGATATTTCAATATTCAACTTAGTTAGTAGAACTGTCAGAGGATTTCACCTCTCTTCACTCCCCTATTTGCAATATTCGTGATTTCCTTTCAGTCCCATCATGGTTGCCGTGATTTGGACGAGCCGTTGTCAAAGTGTGACACACGGTGTTCAGAAGAGGGTATCACCTACGACAGTTGTGCCCAAGGCTGTCATGCAGTGGAACACGCTTTCTTGGTCCAAGTGCAAGGTAGATCTTTGCTCGATAGCGCATCCGGTAGCGGTCAAAATTGTTGGCCAAAACTCCTTTAGTGCATTTCATTATCCCAGGAAAGATCAATATTATCCGAGGCTCAAATACCTAAACTCTTCAATAGTCAAGGTTTTCAAAGGCTTTAAAAGGCCCGTCTTATTGATACTTGAAGAGTACTGTCGGAGTGAGAAGAAATGCACAAAAAAGCGTTTCGGCGAACACTTTTGACCGCTACTGTTATATTTGGTTGCTGTTAACCGGGTTATTGTCGTGTCATTTTATTAAAGTCATAATCCATGGATTCTGGTGGATGAAGGCCTTCAGTGGGTGGAATAGAGCTGTTCACGAAGGTGGTAGGTGTACCGTCTCCCGGCTCGAACGTGGGCAAGAGCGCCAGAGCCTGACCGCTTCCATTTCCTCGCGTCCGCAGCATACTGTGTCTCGTTCTCTCCATCCCTTGTGCTCTCTCACCTATCCTCCCCATTCCGTTCTGACCCTCATTTCCTCAGCACGAAAGTGAGCAAGCCCTTCACTTTGTCGCTTTCGGCTAGCTCTTTTCCTTTTTGCCTTACATACCTAGGGTTGAGAATTCCAACTCATCTCAAATATCGAAGTTCGTTTTGAGCTTTTGAAGGCATGCTCACTGTATATTCATTTGTATGTATTACACTTTCATAGAGAGCTTGGCAGAAATTGAGGCTAAAATGCTATGCTCAAGCGCCCAATCGTCTCTCATTTCGATGCACGAAGATATTTGAATGCTTACTTCGGTACCATATGAGCACTTTGGGAAGTCAGGAAGGAAGAGATTTGACCTATTAGTACTGATATCCCTCTGGGCAAGACAGAATAAACTTTAGAGAGTAGAGCAACTGAGTGTTTACGTATTTTAAGCAGTGTTCGACCTCACAGGCTGAGTAGTTTGTTGAGCGACAACACCACTTTGGGGTATCCGACAGAAGGCCCGTTGCTCGGCAAGAAACCAGAGTCAGCGGAGCGGCCGCACCGCATACTTTAGTGATTTCGCGTTGAATAGAATGTCTTATTGTGCGTCCTACATTGCAGAGCAGCGCTGCCGCTACTCTACCTTTCCTGCCGCGCGACGGGCCTCCTGTCGGCTAGGCCACCACTGTTCCCTTTGCCGAGCATACTAGAATTCTTTCTCAATTCGAATAGTTTTTTTACTTCTTTATTTTGAACAGGTTATTTTTCGATCATGAGTCAGAACTTCCAAGCTGAATTAGAGCAAAGCAGTGATATAAATCACAGACTTCACATTTATCATACCGTAGTCGTCATCGCGTCAGCACGAAATCGGGTCCTATTTTTTCGCTGCACTTACAATCGCATTGCACTTTTAATCGCATTCTCAGATCTTTTGCAATTTTCTTCTCAGATCTTTTGCAATTTTCTTCTTCCCATAATGTTCATGGATCACTAATGAGTAGTGCTCTGTGTTAGCCTCTACAGCTAAACTTGGTGGAAAGCATGGCTATCCCAGATTTTTGTGGTGCATGGTCATCACGACATTTGCATACCCCTAATGCTCCGCACTCTAACGCGTAACATAGGATCCAGCAACACCTACCGCCCAAAACAACTGAATTAACTTAACATGCTTCCTACTGATGTGATACGTTGTTCACCATGAAGACTTGAAAACCTTACTTCTGATCTCCACTTACTCGTTGCCGTGCTTACGGACAGGCTCAGACGCGGACTATAATGTTTGTGCCTGAGCCTGTCCGCCTGCTTCGAGTGTGTCCCATCCACCGCCAGCAAGCTTACCTTGCTTCCTACGCCAAGTTTATTCACTTTTCACTGTATGCAAGCAGTCTCAGAACCGATTCGTAAGAGCTGTAAAAATCCTATCCACTAAAGAACACCTCCACCACACTGTGGGCGAGCCTCCGCTCATTTTAAATGTGCTGGGGATGCCTCAGACATTGCTGTTCCATATCAATCGTTTTGGGATTCATGCTCCCATAACCGACTTATGAATTTTATTAGGCCGTTGAAAATAAATGTTTTTGAAAAACATGAAATTTTTCGGACAGGAATGTTCGGTACCTTGGAGCAAGGCATGCTCGCTCCTTGTTGCCTTCCTCACGTGTAGATTCGAAATTCTCATCAAAGGGTGCGAGCAACTGTACGTTGACAATCTTGGAGTCCGATAGTCGTAATTTTCATCGGTCTCTAGATTAGTTCGCTTGAGATGTGCGTCTAGCCTCGAATGACTCGATGGGGACATCGGTGTTACAAGGAGCAGGCGAGGAAGGCTGGGTTGATTCGCTGACCGGTAGGTTCGATCACGATCAATCTCAGTTTTTGCATGAAGCAAGCACGCACTTGTCCCTTCGCCAAACAACAACATACTATGTCATATTCCCATCGAATTTCCTTTCATTATATCATATTTCTACACTTGTGAAAATTTACTATTGCATGCAAGGTGTCAGTAAAATTCTTTTTCAGTAGAGCCCCAGGTAGCTCACACAAAATACGCCGCATCACGCGTATCAGTGGCTCTTTACTAGACCACAGGGTCTTGCATTAAACGCATATAACAGCAAAAAACAAGAAAAAAACCTTGTGGTATGACAAAACAAAACAAAAATAACTCTAAGCATAACTGAAATCTTACCGATCATAGTATATACATGTGAAAATTACAGGGTTTTTGTCAAAAAATGACCAAACAAGTGTTGCGATTTCTTGATAATTTGTGATTCAGAACTTCTCTATCAAATCACAGTCACAATGGTGCTCTCGATGATACTGCGTACGATGCATTCCTGAACAGTGTTGGCACAGGTCTGTGGTATACACTTTGTACAATGTTGCTTATTCTACAAAAACGTTGTAAAAATCTATCTACATTGATATAAAATTGCTCCCACAATATTTTATTATTTCCTTTTTTCAATATTCCCCGTCGATTTCCGAGTTACGTTAGGCATTTTGGAAACAATATACCTACATCTATCCAAAAGTGAATCGCGTAATAACTTCGTATAGCATACATTATACGAAGTTATACGAGAATTGTCTATAATGTGCACTCTTCAGGTGCAGGAGATCGCTGCCGCCGACGTCGGCTGGTACACGCAAAGCCGACCTGCCAACGGAAAAACAGGCTGGAAATGGACTGCTTTACCTGCGACCGTATGCAACAACAATCCTTAATATCCTACAGTTTCTATTTACGTACTTTGCATGCGTTTCGAGCTCTTCGAAAATCAATTTGGAACGAATTTCAGGCTTTTCGAAACTCGACCCTTTCAACGGATGTGAACATTCCGCTCGAACCCACCACCCATCTCCAGGTTCTTAAGTTGAAGTTCGTTCATGTCGCATCACTGCCATACCGCAAGCTTTTCATGTCGCCTCGCTATCAGCTACCGTAATCGCGTCGGTGTTTCTCGGGCCATCACGTACCAAATGCCACTGCGTGTTGTCCCCAGTCGACTTGAGATCTCGTCACAACTGCAGCTGGCTGTCGATAAGGTGGCAGTATGTTGGAAGGCTGAGGAATCAATGGTGAGCTGGAATGCTCCTTCGTACTAAACTTTAAATGAAACGCGACAAAACTGAAATCGTAAATTATTCGAGACTTCTCTATAATTAATTGATGATAAAGTGTGAGCATCTGTAATCAGAGGATTGTGGTTCACCCTCGCCCCGTGCCTCCCATTCATAATGAGTTCGTGTGTACATGATAGAGGATCGTGTAATAATCCTCGTCATTTTTCGACGAAGCGGAGGAAGTAGAGGCTAAGGGCCGTGAGAACTGCAAAATTCACGTGAAAAACGCGATATCGCTCTCAGGTTCGACAATTGAGCTTTCAAATCCGAAAATGATGTTGAGTTCAGCTCGTTGAGTTCTATAAGAGGCTGTCCTCAAGTTCTCTAGAGGCACCATCTTGGATTGCGCCATGCACTCAACTTTCATCTCAAAAAGTAGTTGCTTGCATGTGATGTGTATGTAATCCCGCTTATGCGAACTGACTGCTACACAAAAAGAGGGCCTCAAAACTTACCCCAGAATGCGCCACGTACTCAATCTAATCCACTACATTGTAAGATTAAATGAATGTTATTTTCCGAATTCCTGTACCTTTATTTCGTTTTAATTGGGTGGACGTGTTCTATCCGCGCTCAACGCCCTATTTTCTCTATTTCAGCTGAAAATCTTTGACCAGTTTTTAGCAGGAATAGTAGACATAGGACAGGAGGTCGTGGAGGATCGACTCCTTGGTGACATTGGTCTTTTTTCTTTTTTTAGCGGCAAAGGTAAAAGGACTCTTGACGTCATTATTAGCTTAAGCTCACCTATCAATAAACCAGTTGAAAGCACTTCTAATGGGGTTAGCATGCATAATAGTGCAGAAGAAAAAACTTCATAAATTTGTTCAAAGACCGAGCGGGCATTCCAAGCAGTTCTAAGCTCAACGCCTCAAGGCGAATACTGGTATACACCTCTTTTCATTTGGCTATATCGACCTGCTCACCATTCCTTGCTAGATATATAGGAAAGAGTGGCGAAGCATAGCAAGATCTGCTGGCTCTTCGCCGGCGTGGAATCAACTCTGAACGGTTGGAGAAGTAGGAGAACATGAGGCTTCAACTCTGAATGAGGCCCGCTTGAAAATTCAGGTTTTTTTGTAAACATCTGCCTTTGAATCACCTCCGGCTCATAACCTCGTCGATTTTGGTTGTTTAGGCCTTTACTGATTTTCCGGCTGACCAATGAGACTACTAGCTATTGAATCATTCCTACCTGTTCAAAATAGCTCATGTATTTAAATCTATTTGGTCTCGAGGATGCCATTACCACACAACATCCCACATTTCAAGTTTTTAACTAGGGCCAAATCTAATATTGAAACACTTTATAGTCTATAAGGATGAGGCGGCAAGTGAGAGCCACGAAAGCAATGCTCATCTGTAGCGAACTTATATTTTGCCCATAACTCACCATCGCTGAGAAAAATTTTGCATGGCTTCTGCCAAAGTTAGAAGTTAGCAACAGAAAACTTGATATTTACCTTGGAGTACCTGCTTTGAAATTTCACTGTCGAATGATCCCGAGTTTGTAAAAGAGGCCTTTCACTTTAGGCGCAATTCAAAATTGCTCTGGCCACACTAGACGGTAACTCGCTATCCACGGATACGACGGATAAAAGGTGAGGCCAATCGATTTTTCTGAAAGTCGTTCCTATTTTTGTTTTTCGTTAGCGATATTAATTTGGACTGAAAACATGAAGGGTTGAGTGTTCGAAATGCTTATATGACATAATGGGTCACTTTTGAATGATTCGAAGTCCCAAGTCACAACGATTCGCTAAATACTGCCAGAAACCCTACTGATACTCAACAAAATGCTCAGTGCACCTTGAAACTTTGACAAATAGAGAGTTAATGCTAGGATTGTACTGTCCCGAAGCCTATTATTGAATGCTAAAATATTGTGAGGCTCCGAAAGTCTCTGACGAAACACCTTTCAACAAAATAGGAGCCCCTGCTCTCGTGAAAATCATTCATAATAAATTATGTACCCTCCCCTTCAAAAAGCGAGAAAGTGTCGGGTGCAGACCATGCACCACAAGTGACGACGGCCTTCACAAAATAATGTTTTCTGCCAATGAAATGATTAGCCTGTTGCAGTTGTATTCTATCGATTGTCACTAATTACAACTATCATTTACCAGAAATCAGCTATCACTATGAACAACTTCTAACCAGATTTACTTGGAGGCCGTCGTCAGTTGTGGTGTTTGGTCTGCACCCGACACTTTCTCGCTTTTTGAAGGGGAGGTTATGTCACCGGTGATATTCCCATTAATTGTGCATCAATCGCATATATGTGGCATCACATAAATTGATTAAAAGCTGAGAAGGGTCTCGTCCAGTAAGTGGGGCATGTGGTGTGACAGGCTGTTCATATTGCGTGAAGTATCTCTTTTGTCTAGGGAGAAAGCTTCGAGTGTGTTGTAAAGTTTGAGCGAAATAGTTCACGCAACCACGGGATTTCCTTCCCTTGCGAAAATTGGGAATTCCGTAGCCGTCAAGAACTTCACAGCACATGCGCCCCTCCCCCTACAGGATGAGATCGACTGAGAAATGTGTCTGCGCTCAGCGACAATGATAAGTTATAGGGATTGCCCTTGTGCAGGTGACCTCCATCAACCATCACTATAAGCTTTTCCCTGAATATCGACTTTTGTCGTTGACCTTCAGGTGCTATCTTCGTGGAATCGGGCCTAAAAGAGAATTGTATGTCGTTGACTGCTGACCGCACGCTAACCACTGAAGGAACAGCGCAGTCATGCTAGCGTCAAGCTGGACGTATTCAACCTCCGTGTAAGAGTTTTCAAAGCCTATACTATCATTTGATCCTACTTTTTTAGTGCTACTACTCTCACCTTCAGCAGTTTTAGCACTGCTCACGTTCCGGTTTTTTTCTTTCGTCTTTTGTGCCTGAAAAGTTCTCATTCAAGTTTCTTCTCCTGAAGACGTGATCCCAACACCAGCTCGCCTTGTACTGTCTACGGGTACACACCTTCTGCAAATGAGGAACCACTGACGACTACATTGTCTCTGAGTAGCTATGTCTCTGTGTCTATTATCTACCTGAAGGCGACTCATTACTAGATATTACTGTCGTGTTTTTGGGGTGTGTGAGTTTGCAGTCTTATAACATGCTTGTCTGTTAGTTGTGTGTTGTGGTAGGGACACAAGGCTATGTAGGTATCCCAAAAGTGGTTTCGGACATTTGGCCAGAAAATCTCAGCGCAAAAAGGAAAAAGCTAAGGCGCGCAGAGGCTCCTCCTCAACAGTCCGTAGAGGTAGCATTTGGGCGAATACGTAATGCTTCCCTTTTCAAGCAGCCCCAGGATTCGCATTTGGTGTGACATCTAGCACACGAAAGCGTAATATTATGTCTTGAGATTTAGGTAGACAGTAAAGATCAAAGGAAAAGTAATCGTCGGACGCTGTAGTTTGAGGCTTACTGCCCCTTCCTAGTTCGGCTGCTCTATACGGGATATGGATAAATCTAAGCGCGGCAGAGGAGATATAGGAGAGAGCGGTGACGGATTAAGAGAAGCGCAAGACAACAGCTTGATAAAGAAAAAAAACCCTGCCGCTCAGCAGTTATCTTTTTTTGCAAACCGCCGCGCTCTTGTCGTGGTCTCCCTGCACGGGGAACGCCAAATTGTCTTGGGGTCCATGTTACAGACCGAAGGGAAGCGTTCAGACGACCTCTCTCTGGGTTTGTCTTTAAATCACTGCATAGGTGAAAATGCACCCAGGGATTCTGCGATTCGACATGCAGCGTTCGCTACTAGTGTCCCTCGATTCGCAAATTCAGAAACCGGCCCGAACAACTTGCTAAATGTAGAGGTTTTCATTCTGATTTCTTCAGTACATGCTGATTATGAGCCACGCGCACTCACAAAAATCACACATACGCTAAAGAACTATTTCAGATATTAGTTTCCAGTTCTTTGCTAATGCCGATACATATTTAAGGCGTCGAGGGCATTTCGTCGAACTCGCTGGTGGTTGGAAGCAGTCGTGGATCGGTGTGGTTGCTTTCATTGGATTACAACGACACAGTCATCTACACCTCTCCGACTGTAATTCGTCAATCAGATGAAGTGGAGCATCCTGCCACGCAGATAGAATACGGTAAGCTATCGTTGCCTACAAAACGACGCTTCGTGCTATGGACGGACCGATGAAGTCCAAGTGGGCTGAGCGCAGGGTGCTGTTCCTTGACCTTCGCCAACGTCAGAACATCCCTTGTTTGAAAGGAAGGGGAGGCTCCAAGAGATTTGCCATTGTCTCTTAAAACTGATCGATGTTTTTACAGACTTGATGCAAAACGCCATTTATGTGGTGCTTTATGACAAAGGGATCGCTCGCTGCACACTGGAGAACCCTTCTTGTTTTCTTCTGCCGAACTCCGATTCACTGAATCCAATTCGTACAGTGGCTGTTGACAGTATAAATGGGTAAGGCTTCCAGCATGGCAGTTGTGCTGGTTGAGGGCGACAACTACAACAAATAATTAAGTAGTTATATTGCAGTTTCCTTGTACTTTCTTGGCGCTGATCACCAAGTTTACCGATCTGAGTTGCTACCTTTTGAGAAAGTGGACAACTACCAGCTCTCAACGATCGTTCCTTTCCCAGGTATTCCTTTGCGTCTTTGTTATTATTTATTTACCAGCCTATTTATGCCCAGCCTGGAAGCTTTTTGTCAGCACAACAACCCAGAGCCCCAAAACTACTAAGCCCACTAAAGAAGTGTTGATGTTTCGGAAACAGTGAATAGGGCCGATCACCAAAAGTCATTTATCGAGCTATCCTTTTCGGAGTGCATTCGCTAATTATTTGCTGGAATTGTGGCTTTTTAAGTGACTGTTAATGGTGCGAGTCTTTATGCCTTTTCTTGCCCACGATCGTGCCTTTTGTGGCGCCCCGACGTGGCCTCTTTTCCATTACTCTCGAGTACATATGGGAATCACGTTTAAGCAGCGTATTTACGTTTGCTTTATTGCCAAGTGGTTGAACTAGGGTTCGTCTTTTTAACTTTCAATGGCGCATTCTCCCATACCATAGGTGGTACTCCTAACCAACAAAGTGGAACAACAGAAAGACCTGGGCTTCCTTATCCAAAGGAATCTCAACTTGATTTCACCGTGTGTTTGTTCCTCAAAAGGCCACGATAATAATCCATTAGGCGCTCTCACTGCAAAGGATACTGTAGTCCCATTACGCGCTATAAGACCTCCGTCGAGCACTTCGGAAAGCGGCACGCTGTTTTCAATCCATGTGAAGCAAAACTGTTATAGGACCTGAAAGGGTTAAGAACACTTTCACATGGGAACTGGCAGTCAGGGCCTAGGGTTTATCTGCGATAGTGTATCCTGTAGCACAGATAGGAACGAAAATTTCTAGCTTTACATCATGGCTAGAGGAGAATGCTTTAATCTCATTTTGTTTCAAAAAATCCTTCATGGTCTCTGCGGTCTGAAACCTAGTCAGTTTTGGCGTTGCTGTCCACTGTAAACCCGTCGGGCGACTTATTCCCCTTGTTGAGCATGATTAAAGGTTTCATTTCTTTGACCCTTCAACGACAAGACGAATTTCCACATGAAGCGCGGAACCACACGCTCTTTTTGCCGCGCCCAACTCCCACTCAAAATTGGGCACGCTATCCCTAAAACAGTTTTTCTATCCAATTTCTGCATTTAAAGGCAGCGATTACGATATTTCAAGAAGGGTTTAGTGTGACGTGGTGGTGCTCAATGGTACGCCAGTGGCGAAAAAAGCAGAAAAATCCGTCAAGAAAACGCAAAACGGGACCCCTTTTTGGCCGTTGGTTTTCACTCATGAACAGGTAACAGCTCAGAAAGTGGACGTATGAACGAGTTCACCGCAACGCGTTTGATGGCACCATGCCAAACCACGCTTTAATCGAGATGCTCCAGTTGCGCCGCTGCTGGCAACGCAGCTCGTCCAAAATCACAAGTAAACTAGTGGGCGGATCGCTTTTGGGGGCGGAGCGCTTTCGAAGTCCTGCTCAGCAAC